TGCTCCCCAGTGTCACCCTGGCCCATCACCCTGTTTTACTGCCTTCATGCACAGATCATGATAAAAACTGTCTTACTGACTTGTTGTTTGACCCCTCTACCCTCATGAAAGCTGAATGGGACTTTGCCTCTCTCTTTGAACACTACTGTATTTTCAACATCCTCAGTAGTGTATAATCCACAATGTGCTCTTAATGAATGCTTGTAGAAAAATAAAAGACTAAATGGATGACTGCATAAACAAATGTACCAGTTCACAAAATGGAAAGTTTAGAATACCTGGGATAGAGAATGGAGAATGGCAAGAGATACTATCAAACATGAGTAGGGACAAGACACATGCAAGGATTCAAAAGCCCTGCCAATGAAACTAGATTTTATTCTGAAGATGACTAGACTATACATTCTTCCAGCCCCAAGACAGGATTTCAGTACCACCAGAAAGGCCTGGAAACTGAGGAAAGTTGAGTTATCTTCCCAAATGCATTCCTGTCTGAGTTATCAGTTTTGAGAGGTGGAATGCAAACGGGACTGCCTTGCTTAGTGCTTTAGTTTGTGAGAGAGAACAAGGCATCCTCGGCTAAGTTAGCCTGTTGGGAATCAAAACAGAGTCCAGAGTCTGGCAAGTGGCAGAATATACACATGGGAGAAAAGCAATGATGAGCAGGAGGAAGTAAAGACCAGGCTCAGTGCTCCTTACAGCACATGGAGTGAAGTAGGGACTCTATCATAGGACTTCGAAGCCTGTGCAGAAAACAAAGACAAGGCAGAAGGTGCAGAGAGGGTTCCTAGCCCTCCTCCTGTCCGAGGAATTCAGTAGGAAGAGGCTGGAGGAGACAGGAGCTGAAGAGCAGGCTGTAGGCTGAGGGGTGGTGCTGCGGAGAGCCTGGGCCACTGAACCACAGCTCACATTGCTAAGGGATGAGCAAGCTTGGCAAGGGACAAGGTGCAATGTGCTCACAGGAGACTCATGATCAGTGAGATCCAGAGGACTACTGATGAAACTGGAGAGACATAAAAAAAAAGGGCCAATAATATTATGAAGCTAAACACTCTAGAAGCTAATACATCTGATATTGGACATCTACTGTCTCAAGCATCATGCTCAGTAAGTAAAGCAAGTAAATTCATTTAGTCTTTGTAATGATCCTCTGAAGAAACACTGAGATTTATAAAGCATATGTCATTTGTACGGCACAGCTAGAAAGCAACAGAGCTAGGACTTGACCTGGGTCTGTCAGACTTCAGAGACTAAGCTCTGAGAGGAGGTACTTAAGGCAAACAGAACATACAATAGGCAGTGAAGGCACAATCGGCCCAATTAGCCACTGGTTGTTGGTGCTCCTTTTACCCTTGTCCAACAAGTCACTGCTGGGTCTTCTAATAGCCATAGCTTTTCTTTGGGAACCTAAGCCCACCTCACTGTCAGTTCCTATGGCCTGGGTGCGGCACTACCCTGTTCTAGGAGTGAAGTGTGTGCCAGTCAGCCTATGCCAATCAGCATGGTGCATTCCCTGGCCACAGTAGATAGTGTAGGATATAAATGTGATCCAGGAGCTTCTGGCTCTTTCTTGTGGCACTAGTCTGGGGTCACTACAGTTATCTCATCACCAGATCCCAGAATGTTCCAGGAACATCCTTATGGAGCTAAAGACTGAATCCCACCCTAAGGTGGGCAGGGGCCAAAGCCTGAGAGAATAACGTAAGAAGACACTGTTGGAGCCCTAAACTCAGCTGCTCTAAAGCCAGATCCATCTTGAACATTTTAGTGGCTTGAACTAATAAATTCCCCGCTTTAAGGTAAATGTGTCAGTGTTTCCTGTCACCTTCAATCAAGAATATTGAGGGCCAGGGATTTAGCTCAATGGTTCCTCTGCCTGACTCACAAGTGCAAGGACCCAAGTTCGATCCCCAGTACCAAAAACAAACAAACAAAATACAAAACAAACAAACAAAAAAAACAAATACTTTGGGGCCAGGGATTTAGCTCAGTGGTTTCGCTGCCTGCTACACAAGCGCAAGGACCTGAGTTTGATCCCCGGTACAAAAAAAAAAGAATATTGAGAGCTGGGGATTTAGCTCAGTGGCACTACACCTGCCTGGCAAATGCACAGTTCTGAGTTCGATGCCTGGTACCAGGAAGAAAAAAAAAGGAATATTGATATTTAGCGAGGTGTGATGGTGCACACCTGTAATCCCAGCATTTGCGAGGCTGAGACAGGAAGATTGCCACAAGTTGAAGGGTAGTCTCAGTTACATAGTGAGTTCAGCCTGAACTACATAGTGAAACCCCATCTCAACAAAAGAAAACAACAATAACAAAATGCTGATATTTACCATCATTCATAAAGACAGCATTTGCTCATATGAATGAGGACAGAACGATACAGGTGAGAGATGCAGAGGGAGAGGATGAAAGCTACTGCTGGGGCTGCCCACTTACAGTGAGGGAATTTCCAATGCACATCATCAGGCTGGAGGAGAGGAAAGACTTAGTCCTGCCTGACAAATCATTTTAACTAACCAAATGTCTGAACATCTTATTCTGGAAAAAACAGAACATTTAAGTTTATTTGCTTGGCTGACAATTTCATCTCTCAAGAAGAAATGCTATTATGTCATGATTCTCACTCAGAAGGTAGAACAAACTTATTTTTTGAAAGGGAAGGAAACTTGGGCAAATATGATCACAGGATTTTAAGAATTTATTAAGAGCAAAATATGAATAAGTTTCAAGAAGTTCAAAGAAAAGTTAGGGAAAATGCAATAGCTTGAGGCCCTAAAAGGAAATGATCCTTTTCAGAATCAAAATTATGATAGCTAATTACAAATTCTTCAGGGGAGTAGAAATCTTTAAAAATCCAAATATTGGCTAGCAAATTAATCCTCAAGAGTTCTAGGTGGATGTCATTTACTAATCATAGCACCACTCCTTGTTAAGGCCAATGTCATTCTCAAATTCTCTTTTATATAGTACCCTAGCAGCTACAATGAGCTGAGCAAAGTTGGGATATGTTATGGCTTAAATATGAAGTGCTCCCTCAAAGACTCAGCTTTAAGGGTTTAATTCCCAATGTAGCAATGTTCAGAGGTGGGGCCTTAGAGAGGTGACTGGATTATGAGGACACTAACCTCATCAGTGGATTAAGCCACTGATAAACTAGTAGGAAAATGAGCTATTAGAAGGTGTGGTGCAGTTGGAGGAAGTAGGCCACTGTGAGCATACCTCTGAAGGGTATATCTTGTCCCTAACTACTTCCTTACTGTCTCTGCTTCCTGGATGCCATGAGGTAAGCAGCTTTGCTCCACCATGCCCTTTTGCCATGATGTTTCGTTCTCATCACAGGTCTAAAAGCAATAGAACCAGATGACAATGGAGTGAAACCTCTGAAATCATGAGCCAAAATAAGTCTTTCTTTCTTTAAAGTGCTTTTCTCAGGTATTTTGTCACAGTGATAAAAAGCTAACATAAGGTCAGGGGATTTAGCTCAGTGGTTACGCTGCCTGTCTCAAAAGTGCAAGGACTCAAGTTCAATCCCTGGTACCAAAAAAAAAACAAAAACCAAAAGCTAATTCAAGACACTATTTATTTTACATTAAGGATATCTTCATTTACCATAATATTCATTTATTCAAAGAAAGAAAAGTGAAGACCGGAAAATAGTGAGCACTAGAAAACAGCATGTGCTCTAAGTAGAAGGCATGTCAAAACTACTGAGTTTTCTCCTCCAAGGATGACCAATGAAATCCAGTGACACCGTAAACAGACACCACAAGGCTACTAGGAGAGGTTTTTAGATCATCATGGACGTGACAGAAAAATTCAGGCTGGATTACAAGGGTAGGAGGCAGAGTCAAAACTCACTGAACACCTGCAGTTAAGAGTTACTGACTAGGGCGGGGATTTAGCTCAGTGGCATTGTGCCTGCCTCGAAAGCACAAGGTCCTGAGTTCAACCTCCAGTACCAAAAAGAGTTACTGACTGAGGGCTGACGGGGAGATTGATCAGACAGTCTTTGGTTTTGTCTTGTTCAAAATACCCATTTATCCATTCATCCAGTCTCTCATTCACTTATTGAACAGTCATCTGAGAACTTACTGTGTGTCAGATGTTGTACAGAAAAAACGATGATTCTTGTGTGAAGCCTAGGACACTGAAAAGTTGATGGAAGGAGTACGGCAGAATGACAGGTGCTTGGACTGAGGTGTTGTGGAAGTTCTAGAAATAGGCCCTGAACCTACCTGGCCTGTTGAAGGTGGTCATTATCTATAGCAACGGTCTGTCTGCCTCAAGAAAGGGAGCCTGGGGCTACAAAGAACTATGAATACCGAAGTTACAGAAATAGGTGTTGGAAAAGGTCAATGAGGTAAAATATACCATGTGAAATCCAGACCCATTCGGTGAAGCATTGCACCCTAAGGTTGCTGGAGAATATGCCCTTAGTTTTGAGGCCACTGATGGAACAATATTAAAGTAGCCTCTATCCACAGCAAGGAATCCAGATAGGGACAAATGAGGCCCATGACAGCCAAATGTATACTCTGACTTTCTGAGTGCTCCTCTGCTCTCTCTGAGTCCCTCAATCTCATTCATCTTTCTATTTGGCATTCTCTAGGCAGTCATCTATAAACAATAGACTCAAGACTCTCACAGCCCCCAGGACATGGGAAACACTGTAGCACATCTTTCATTCCCTGCCACGCTCCCTCCTGTCCCAACATTGTCTTTTCCTTCTTCCCAAGAGAAAAAACTAAGACACACGCATATGCCAGCTTCCACGACTGTGTATCCTGCACAGTATTCACGAAGAAAGGGGACTAGATAGCATCTACAGGAGCTTCCAGCTGGGGAAGACAGCAATAGTTAGTTATTCATTTTCCTGCTGGAAGCACTCCTAATTAAAAAGGGTTGCAAAGATAGGGCAATGCTTACTACCAGTGAGTAAATGGTGGAAGGTCAGGCACCAGAGGATTCATCTGGGACCCTCTAGTAGGACTGACCTCTTCAGTGATGATCGAGACAGCACCTGTGCAGCCTGGTTCATGGCCCTCACCCAAGCATTCATGTCTTCCAGGGTATCGGCACTGAAGTAGTAAGTTCTCATGCCCGACTGCTCAGCCTGGGAGCCTGCCATGGAGCTGTTGTAGATGAGTGCTCGCATCCCCATGTGCACAGCCTATAAGTGTGGAAACAGAAAGCCAGGGCAGAGAGGTCAGCATGTTTCCCTTCTAAGAGCATGAACAAGAAGGCACACTTGCCATCCATCCCGTCCCCCTGCTCCCGGCCCAGAGGAAGGAGCTTCTGAGACTCTGACCCACCACTTGCGGCCCAGAAGAAGTGGCTTCCAGGCTGCTGTCCCGCTGCTCCTGGCCCAAAGGAAGGGGCTTCTGGGCCACCATGCAGCCTACCGCTCCCACCAAAGAGGAGGGGGCTTCCCGGCCACCATCTGTCCCGCCACTCCTAGCCCAGAGGAAAGGGCTTTTGGACCGCCATCCATCCCGACACTCTGGCCCAGAGGAAGGGGCTTCTGAGCCACCATCCCACTGCTCCTGGCCCAGAGGTAGGGGCTTCTGAGCCACCGTCCCACTGCTCCTGGCCCAGAGGAAAGGGCTTCCTGGTCACCATCCCTCCCACCACTCCCAGCCCAGGGGAAAGGGCTTCTGGGCCGCCATCCCTCCCACCGCTCCCAGACCAGAAGAAGGGACTACTGAGCCACTGTCCCACCTCTCCCAGCTCAGAGGAGGTGAGCCGCGTGGGTGCCAACAGCACAGCCCCCACTGCCCC